TTAAATCTGTGTTTCCTATGTCATATCTGAACTGGTAGGAACTGATTTAATTAGTTAAATATTTTACAAAGTATGAGTTTGTTATAGCGCGGTAAATGGCAGAGCATGTCTAGGCTACAGTATGCTGTGAGCATTCTGTGAAGTATGAGATGGATACTAGAAGACCACAAATGGGGGTGTGTTCTCCATCCTTTAAGGAGTCTTTGTTTTCTTGGTATAAGTATTGCAATTATTCTGTACATAGTGCCCTGATAGGATTAAATTTAGATGCACACTTGCTATTTGGAATATTTATCATCTTTTTCACAGGGTATTATAACATTGTGGAAATATAAGCTAAGGCAATTCCTGTTGCTACATAATACATATCTTTTACCTTTAGAAGGCTTTTAATGGAATGTAGTTTTTCTGTCTCAAGAATTTTATCATCTTGACCAATGTGACATGAACAACTTCGACCATATTTTGTAATACTTTGGAAAGTGTAAGATGACTTTATGAGAAATTAGACATGCAGAAACTCTAATGAATATATTTTAATGATGATTCCTTTCTCTGAGGTTCATGACTGAATGGCTGTAATGTCTCTGCTAGTTTTTACCAAAGCATGAGTTTTGTAGTTAGTGTTGACGGTATTTTTGTTGGTGGTTTGGACTTGTTGCTGTTTTGTTTGGGCGCTGCTTGAACTCTGGCACTCCCTCGGTGACTGAGCTGTATCCCAGGCCAAACTGTTTCTTTAATGATCTGGTCCTGTCCTCAGCCCCCAGCAGCGGGCAGCCTCCATCCTTTGGTTGGTCTGGTGACCCAGAGTCCTTGAACTGACAGTGCTGTCCAGTTTGCCAGTCTCACCCCTGCCTTTAATGCTGGAAGGCATATATTTACCTTGAAAGTTTGAAAAGTGGCTAGTTCTAATTTTGCTCTGTAAGAAGTCTGATTTATTTACTTTTGGAATTTCACAACACTTTGAAATATTTAGAGATACTGTAGGGTGTTGCAAATAGAGGATTAGAAACCACTGGCATGGATCCAAGAATGTACTTTGCCAATATGCGGCTTTTCCCAAGGCAGTTTATTACTGCTTTCCTAATTGTTTTTTTTATATCTCTCACATGCGATAAAATGTTCTTCTAGTAGTCCTTTCCCCCCACTGTATCCTGAACAAAGACATTTTGGGCAACATATTTGCTCTTTATTTATGTGTTGTTTTGGTTAAGGTTATGTTGTAGTGTGTCATTTTCTATTATATCTATATTACTTGCCAGAAGCCTAAGTATGACTAAATTCTGAAAGATAATGTCTGTTACATAAATTGGGCCCCAAAACATCAGGCGTGTCCAACTAGTGGCCTCATGGCTATACATGGTCAAAGTCAGCCATGAATATATACCAACCCCAAATCATAAACTCACTTAATAAAGCATTGTGCAGCTTTTGTAACTTGTCAGTGCATTTTTGAGTGAAGACTTTGTAAGTGGCAATATTATGTTTCAGTGCCAAAAGGTTGACCATCCATGATGGAATCAAACCATAATAATTTGTAATAAAGATGATTTATCATCAAATATTAAAATCAATGCATGATGCACAGAGATATGGAATCCAAATATTAGAGCATTTATTGTCCAGAAGTATAAAGTGTCATTGAATCCTAATACAAATAGTAATTTGGAGAAAATGTTGATAAATCTATCTTGGATAAGAGGAAAAAAAGCTGTAAAACCTTTTCGCCAGATGCTAAAGATCAATGAAGTAATAATTGGATGAGTGAAGGGTGGAAAGAATGCCAAGCAAAGGTGGAGGGATTGCATAGTGTTCTTGTGGTAACCATGAAGAGTCAGGACAAATCACATATTTTGGAATGTGAGATGACTAACCTGATCAAAATAAGGTGTGGTGTGTTGAGAAGTAATATCAGAAGTAACGTATAGTAACGTAACACAGGGATAAGAGTTCTTAATACTCAATCAGTGGTTCTCAACCTTCCTAATGCTGCAGCCCTTTAATACAGTTCATATGTTGGGGTGACCCCCAACCATAAAATTATTTCTGTTGCTACTTTATAACTGTCATCTTGCTACTGTTATGACTAGTAATGTAAATATCTGATATGACCCCTGAGGCAGGTCACGACCCACAGTTTGAGAACCACCTCTTTAAATGAAGCGCAGAGAGGATGGTTCTAAAATATTATATTTGTGACATTTATTGCAGGGGTATTTTTCAGCATGTGTTACTCCTTTTCATGACATCTGTAGATATTTCACTCAGGAGAGTAGTAGAAATCAGAATTTTGGAGGAAGAGTCAATTCATTTGTTCTATAATGTTCTATAATTAAAATATAATTCAAAGTTCAATAATGATGATGTATTTCTTGGCATAAATTGCTAGCCAAAAGGAGAAAGGGTGGGGTCCTCTGCCAGAGAAGTAAACCTCTTCCATTTTGGTGGATCGGTAGCTGTGTTTATGACTTTTTCTTTCTGTTAGTATACTATTCCTTCTGCTTTCTCAGAGGAGGCATACCATGATTACATCCAGCAGAGTCCATGAGGGAAAAGTTCTAGTGTGGTGTGAGGCCACTATTCTGTGCTCTCAGTCAAGTACAAGCTCAGCTTAAGCACAGAAAGAGTTTTCCAAATATCTTCTCAACAGAATACTGCAAGCAACCTGGCTGCGTTTCAATTTACTGTGAGAAATTACAACCTCCTAAAGCAGAAGAATGTGATCTCAACTTACATTTGCCCCATTCTACTGGGACAAAGTAATACTGGCAGAAATGTAGGCCCATTGATTTACAATGGACAAACTGAACTGGACAAAGTCTGTTTTGTGTAAACTACACAGTATCTTATTAAAACCTGGAGAAATTAAGACAAATTGAAGTCCTCACCATGAGGCCCGTGGCTTGACACTCCTAACTCTGTTGAGTAATGACAATGGTCACAATGACAATAAGGCCCACAAGAACTTCAGGACTTAGTTTTGACCCTACAGTATACAGGCAAGATGATGGGAAGTGTGAATGCACTAGGTTGCCTTCATTTGGAAGAACTGAACTAGATCAACTGTGATGTTCCTTTCGGGAATTTTCAAGAAATTACTTAGTGTCTATGGTTCTTAGTTTTTCAAAGATGCAGGAAGAACCAAGAGTTAAAACATTCATAAAATTATGTTTTTAGTCAATTGCAAACTAATATGCCCATGCATAGAACTGATCCTGGCTGCTGAGGTGGGTGGGATCCATTCCAATAGTGTGGTACTCCTGAGGGCAATCCTTTTCTCAAAGACTTCATACAATCCTTCCATGTTCCTGTGTTAGTTAGCTGCTTGTCACTGTAACAAACACCCACAAGAAACATTTCAAAAGAAAGGAAGATTTCCTTTGGATCGCACTGTGATATGCTTCTGTGCATTGTCAGCTTGTTTGTGTGCTTTGAATTTGGGGGAAGGCAGACTATTGCTCACCAAAAAGCAGAGAGACAGGGTGGGGCCAGAGACAAGATGGAACTTTCTAGATCATGCCCCTAGTGACCTTTGTCCTCCAAGCAGGTCCCACTTCCTGCTCTCTAATAATGCCACCCTGTTAAAAATCCACTAAGGAATTAATCCACAGATGAAGTTAGATTCCTTATGATCTAATTACCCCTCAGTGACTTGATCCAGCAGCTTGGAACATTCAACATGTAAGACCATTGGGGAACATTTCATGCACAAAGTGTAACAGTCCTACATTGATGGCAATTGTTCAGAACTGTTTGGGTTGAGGTACAATAAAATCCTCATTATAGCTGCAGTGGGGAGTTCATGCTGCAGTGACATGGGGACTAGTATTCATTCAACATGGAACTCTGGTTAATGAGAAATGATAGAGGGAATTGTTAGAACAGTAAATGCAGTCTTCTAAAAGGGCAAAAATATTTTAAAATATTAAATATTTAGAGAATAAAGAGAAAAATTCAAGCTCATGATTTTAATCTTTTTTTAAAAATAATTTATTTAGATTCATTTTATGTGCATTGGTGTGAAGGTGTCATATCCCTTAGAACTGGAGTGACAGACAGTTGTGAGCTGTCATGTGGGTGCTGGGAATTGAACCCAGGTCCTCCGGAAGAGCAGTCAGTGCTCTTAACTACTGAGCCATCTCTACAGCCCATGATTATAGTCTTTAGAGGCATACATATTTTTAATTCAGAAATTTGATTCACTTTAGAAAAAAATTAGACTGTAGTTTATATAATTTCGTATGTGAGGTATTGACCAGAAAGTACCATTTAAATAAGCATCGCTCCTCAAGAAAACAAATCCTCATGCAGGGAGTTAAAAACACATGGCGGTGGAGAGATGGTTCAGTTGTTAAGAGCACATGGGGCTTTGCTAGAGGACTCTCTCTCAGCACACACATGCGTCAAACCCATGCATAACTCCACTTCCAAGAATCTCACTCTATTTTGGCCTTCAAGTGTTCCTGTATACAACAACCCCCATTTCACCACCTCAACAATCCTTATCCCAAAAGCTTTACTTCTTTGTCTATTCCCAGCTCTGTCAATGACTAAAACTTGTAGATATGTGTCTGGAGGGCATCCCGAGGATGCTGAGATATTTCAAGGTAAAGTGATTAAATTTTACCAATAAGAATCTTCCAGTTGCTTACATCATATCTTGGTAATATGTATAAAGTGAATTTTCTAGCTCACTTTGGATAGAAAAATGAGATCACCCAAAATTCCACTTAAACCTCAGTAACAAACTACCAAACTTGGATCTCTCTATTTTGCTTTTTATTTTAGTCTGCTTTATGCAGTAGTAAGTCCATTTTCTTTGATTTTAATGTTAGTCTTGTTTTTGGTCAGCTTTTTATCAGTGGTATGATCCCAAGAAGCAAAAGAGGTGATGTTTGTTCTTAGGACAATGTTTCCAATAGGCAAGGTTTGCTGGGCAGGGTTGAGTGATGAAAAAATGGCTGATGTATTGGACACTAACCTTATATTTCCACCCTCAGGTAAAAGACCAAGCTTGAAAGTGCACATCAACACCACCAGTGACTCCATCCTCTTGAAGTTCCTGCGTCCAAATCCAAGTGTAAAATTGGAAGGTTTTCTCTTGGGATATGGCAGCAACGTGTCTCCAAACCAATACTTCCCTCTTCCCACAGAAGGGAAAGTCACTGAGGCAGTAGTAGGTAAGGTGTTTGGGGATCAAACTCAGGGAGATGGATGGGTGATAAGAGGAACCAACTATAACAAGATGTTCTAATGTGGAAAATAAGAAGCATTTCTTCTACATCCTTGGATGAGCCCCATGTGACAGTATGAATCACCTTTGCAATTAATGCAACCCAAAGCACAGTTCTTTATATTAAAATTTTTTATCGTAATAAGAAATAATTGTCTTAACCACTGTTGAACCTGTAATCCCTGCCCACATAATTGGATATATAAGGGAAAAAAAAACAGCTGAAATACTGGACTCAACCCTTGTGCCATTATTTACGTGAACTAATTTTCCTTCTTGTTGTCTTTACTTTCTTCCAGTAGAAGATAGCCACTACAGATTTTTGGATTTTATCTTTAGAAAGAAAAGAAAACATACTGCATTTTAAAATTTTTAGTAATTCAGACAAGGAGATTGAAATTTAATATGAATTATGAAATCATGCATTTCTTTGGAAAGGTTTTAATGATATAAAATTAGAGTTTCAGGATGTGAGCCATCTTCTCGCTTTCTTTGTAAGAAAATGTAAATATAATCCACTTAAAGGATTAAATGGTTTTGATAAGGATGATTCATTGTGAAGACTCTGAAAGTCTAGGGTGAGATTTGGTTCTTTGCTCGCTGCTAAGATGTTGCTTAAGAGCCCAGTCTCTGAACTTTTGGAGTACAACCCCCATGTCCCAGCACTTCATATTGGTTCTTGCATTTTTGAGTGTGTAATGAGAATGCCAAGATGGGTTGATTTTGTTCTTTTGCCTTTTGCTTTTTCCGGAGAAATCTCTGTTGTTCTTTAATGCCAGCCAGGAGGTAATACTGTTAATTAATGAGCAACTAGAGATAATGTTGTAAAGTAGCAAGTAACTCAATTTTACATAAGGGAACCACTTTAAAACAAATCTAAGAGCTGATTATTTCTCACACTCTGAGAATTAGTTTTCACAGGTATAGTAACTAATTCCATGAAGAATTTGAGTTTGGATGATTATAAATATTCCCTGGTATCATCCAGTCTTCACTATGGGAAGTGACCAAAAGACAAGCTAACCCTCACATTGATATACCGTTCCCTTTTCTAGGGAGGTTTAGAATTAAACATTTTATTTTTGATAGACTTTTTTTTATTTAACCTGGCTATTTGTTAGCTTCCTTTATAGCATGTAAAAGCGTTAAATATTAAGATGGCAGAAGTCTAATTGCTAATGAAAAATGTGCATAATCTAAAGAAAATTTCCTGCATAAACACTTTTCTATTGTTTTAATAATTAAATTGATCAAATGCCCCTTCTATTTATTATTTTAATCCCTGACTTTTGATTATGTAAATTTCTAAAATTAATGGGAATAATGTTGATGAATGTCTTATAAAACAGGTTGAATACACAGCACTGTGCTAATGTTGTTCTATGTGGTCTTGTATACTGTTTTCTGGAGTGTTTTAAAGCATAAAATACACTTTTATCAAGTATGCATCTATAACAGATAAGAAATACTTTAATAATTCCATAAATTTATTATATTATTGCTTTAATACTACAATATCACTTTATACCTGGATCACACTTAAAATTTCTCATGTGGTCTTACAACTGTATTTTTAGGACTGGTCTATTTGAATCACTAAATAAACTTCACATATTGCATTAGATTATGGATCTTAGATCTCTTCCTTTCCTTTCAGAATGTCATTGGTATGTAGAGAAATTGGAACACTTCTTGGGTTGGATGTCCACAGCCTGCATTTAATGGACTTCTTCTCTTATGTTTCTTCCTTTGCAATACAGAAGATTATACCATATTGTATAATGGAGACAATCTACATTTTAGGCAGGATTTATACTAGTCTAAATTCTTTAGAACATACAGCTTCTTTAAGATGGTATTTTCATGTCTATTCAGATGGAGGAGACAAGAGTTTATCTTTGCTATTTGTCGGAGAGCCTCTGGCCAGATAATGATCTTACAAGGTTTATACAGTTATCTATTCATGAACTTGCATGAAGTTCATAACACACCCAGACCAGAGATATGATTTGGATCTTATTCTTTTGACAAAGTAACCAAGAATCTAGTAGTTGTACTCTGAGATTTTAAAAACTGCTGATTATGAGGAAAGGGTCTATTCTTCATGAACTCTATGCCTGCTAACACACAACTAGCTATTCAGTATTCTTCCCTAGAGTTGAGAGCCTAAAATTGTTGTAGAATATTAGTTGGAGATGTGTTACATTTGTTTTTGCTATGGGATATTTGTTTAATGATGCAAAGATGTGTTACATTCTTTTATGTTGCATTTGTTTAACTCTGTGAAGCTGTGTTAGTGGCCTGATTAAAACACCTGATTGGTCTAATAAAGAGCTGAAGAATGACCAATAGCTAGAAAGGAGAGGGATAGGTGGGGCTGCCAGGCAGAGAGGATAATTAGGAAGAGAAAGGAGGGAAGAAGGAGGAGAGAGAAAAAGAGAAGGAGAGGAGGACACCAGGGTCCCACTACCCAGCCACACAGCCAGTTAAAGAGTAAGAAGTAAAGAAAGGTATATAGAATAGAGAAAGGTAAAAACCCCAGAGGCAAAATGTAGAAGAGAAATGGGATAATTTAAGTTAGGAAAGCTGGCTAGAAACTAGCCAAGCTAAGGCCAGGCATTCATAAGAAATAATAGGTCTCCATGTACTTATTTGGGAGCAGGATGGTGGGCCCCAAAGAGTAAAGAGTAAAAACAATCAACTACATAAAATATTTTTGGAGATGAACTTTGAGTAAGTCTGACTATTTATGGCTAAAATGGAGTATAGAATGGTAAGCTCCCTAGGCTTGCTACTTTCAGGGTGATCTAGAACTCAAATATATGGAGTTAAACTGACACAGGGCCATTTGAAGTTGAAGCAGCTGTAAGCCAGAAGACAGAAAGTCAAGGTTGAAGTTACGCACATAGGCTCCAATGAATAGCAGCACTAAGGAAAAAGTCACAACCCATTTCCTCCATGAAGATCCAGAGATTCAATTTCCAAGCTGTTTGTAGAAAAGGATGGGAGTGCTTGGCATATTTTTCAATATTTTTATTTTAAAATACAATTGCATTATTTTCTCCTTTCCCTTTCCTCACTCTCTTGTGTACCCCTAACCCTGCTCCCTCTAAATCCATGGCTTCTTTCTCTTCAATTGTTATGTACGTGTGTAAATATTGCAACCTACTGAATCTGCCCAGTGTTGCTTATAGTATATGATTTCGGGACAGACTGTTTTATACTGGACAACCAACCAAGGGGCTCATCCCCAGGGAGGAACATTTGTCCTCTCTGTTCCCAACATTCTTTAGTTCTCTGTAGTTCTTTGTTGAGGTGTGGGTACAGTGAGATTTCCCACTTCCACATTAGAAAGTCTATTGGTCTTGTCTTTGTTTAGGCAGCCAAACTTTGAATCTAATTTTATAGAGCATGCAAAGAAGGTGGGAATTTGAATTAGCAGAAATATGTGCACAGTATTCAACTTTGATATTAGAAAAAATGCCCTTTAAGCTGCAGTGAGGATATCCAAATTCATATGGTTTTGTATAATTACTTTTCTTACTCTTTCAACTACAGAATTTCAACTACAGAACAGACATTTCTTTCAAATTTAAATGGCCATGCCATTTAAAGTATTTTAAGTATATTAAGAATTTCAATGTGTCAAATGATGATCTCTAGTTCCATTGTTGGTTTTAAAATGGAAGCTAGATCATCATATCAAGAGAAAACACTTGAGGTCTAGAGATGCTGTTACATATTATCAGGGTGACTAGAATTTTAAACCTGTAACTTCTACTTATGGAAATTCTAGTACATTCTACCAGTCCATCCCAGAAGTAACTATGACTGCAGAGCCATTGAGTACCCTTGGGAGATGCCCAACATCTTCCTCCATTGGGTGCCCTTAGGAGATGCCCAACATCTTCCTTCATTAGGTGCCCTTAAGAGATGCCCAATATCTTCATGGCCTTTGAGCCACTCAGCAGCAAAATGTCTTAGACTGACTAAGATTTGTATAAAAGCTTACACAAACTCTAAGGAGGGCCATTTAGTTAGGAGGAAAATTATTCTCTAGGAAAGGTGCATCTTCTGGCAAAGTTTTCTGAAGGCTAACTATAGGATATAAAAAGCACATTCCACCTTCCCAGAGGACCAAGGTTTCCAAGAATGAATAAGATAACATCTAGTTCCCAGAGATTTAGCTGCAGGCTGTGTGACTGATAAACTAAGGAAGTGCATTATCATTTTGAAGAATTTTCAGGAGGCCAAATTGAAAAATAATTTTAATGGCCAGTACTGGGGTTATTAGCTGGTGACTAGAAGAGAGAGAAATGATCAGAATAGAGGAATTTAGTGACCAGGGCTTGAAGTCTCTTGGCTTCAGGATGCAGAAAATACTGTTTACAGTATGGAAAGCATGAGAGTTCTTTAATCTGTGTGCGTGTATGTGTGTGCATGTGATGTGTGTGTGCGTGATGTGTCTATATGCATGTGTGTGTATGTGCATATGTGTGTGATATGTGTGTATGTGCATGTGTGTGTGTGCGCGCACGTGTGTGTGTAATGTGTGTGTGTGTGCTTGTGCTTGATCTGTCTGGCATGCCAATGTCCCTGTGTGAGGTTTCCTGGGAAGGCTGAAAAGAACTGAATCATTGTTCCCTTCTAAACCTAGCCTAGTTTGTTTTGGTTTTTATTATTATTAATTATTTCATTCTTTGGCTATGCTTCTGCAACACAGAAAGCCAAAAATTCACTTTAAAAGAATTAAGGACAATTGATGGCCATTAGAGGTGATTTTTAGGGACCAATAAAGAATCCTTGCTTCTTATAGTTTGTGTGTGTGTGTGTGTGTGTGTGTGTGTGTGTGTGTCCTCCCCCCTACCAGCCCCCTTTCTCTTTATGTCATCTGCTGGGTTGCACCAAGGTCTTGCTAACAGTCGGAAACACTAAGTTCATTTTTAT